AACACCGGCACATATTTTCTACAGGAAAGTGGGTTTGTATGCTATTTTGAAAATTATTAATATGTCTATTCCTTAAGACAATGTTTTTGAAATTCTCGGTTTTGGGTCTCAGCTTCCTAACAAAGGTTTTATACTAAAAAGTATATTGCTCAAGCACATTTTGGTTGCAAACTTGTACTTCAAGCATTTCAAGCATAAGTTGCAAACTTATTCTTACTTTTTTGTCAAATATAAAACTGCTATTTAAAGGATTCAACGAAAATCATATTTATTAGTCACAGATTTTTCCTTGACAATTTTATACCATTGTGTTATTTCACTTGCTTTTAAAATGTTTTATACGGCTTTAAAATTTTAGTGGTTTCTGTACTGTTCAAATCTAATCATTTATTTGCACGACTACTCTATGTTCCGGCTTTTGTGCCCTCTCTTGCTTTTTTTTGGGTACCCTACTGAGTGCCTTTGCGGTAGTCCAGTGTGGGGACTGCATTCTCTGAATGTTACTTAGCATTGTTGATCCTTGTTGTATTTTCTTGTTGCATATCCATAATAAACGTGCGTATTTCTTTTAATTGCACGTTTCTCAGTCCATTAATGAAAAAGCCAGGGTGTGGTAAACTGGAAATATGATTTTTTTTTGCCAATTGCCCACGGACAACAAATGGAGCAGAAATTATTACTCGTCTCTGTTAAAGAAGTCAACATTTAACATGCAGATTTCTTTTTTTTCCAGGGAGGAACCCGATCCAGTTTTAATGGTGAGTCATATTATTACATTAGTACACATTTAAATACTTTTTTAAATCAAGGTCCGCCTAGTCTCGAGTGACGGTCCACCCTGTCCCAAAATATGGTCCGCCTAGTCTCGAGTCACGGTCCGCCCTGGTATGGTCCGCCCTGTCTCACGGTCCGCCCTGTCCTGCAGGCATTACAAAGCATCGAACGATTAACAGTGGCGTCATTTGGTTTACTGCACAGGCACGAGTATCGGACCTGGGAAGATGTACAATCATTTGTTTTTATGCTCAGCATATATCGTGTAATAACACACTTGATTGTCCTAAGGAATAGTGTGAAGCTTTTTAGAATTATAGATAAAGAACTTTGAAGTTACAACAACTTATGTTACGTTCAATATGAAAATATTCAATATGCAAAACGGGTTCGATCCTGGGTAACACCCTTGAGATTTTTCAGAGACTATTTCAGTGTTCACCTAACTAGAGGTGTACTGGTAAGAAATCCTGGTAATCCTTGCAGATATCAGTGCTATACACGGAGCATGTAGAAGAACCAAGGGGTATATTCTAGTACTTGTATTCTGGTACTGGTTCCCGGATTCCCTTGTATCTCATAGCTTTTTCTGAAGTGACTATTCTACAGCCATGTCTACGTCCCCGCGAGATAATACGGTTTCATAAATTTTCGTTTACTATTAACACATGCTTTACTGCAGAAGAACTACATTCGGTTCATTTTATTACTTTGGCTTATATTTTTATTTAAACCAGTCTTATTGAAAAATTCGTAGACCCGACTGAATTATTGGATTTCCGGGATTACCGGAAATAAAAGTTTTTGTGGTGAATTTCTGCGAATAATTCCTATTTTTCAACGATATGCAATCATGCCAGAAGCAATTTCTGTTGCAGACATCATTGAACAGACATGGGAAGATTACAAGTCCCCGACTACATCTACTTTTGATAAGAAGATGACAAAATGTCGGAATTCAGTTGCCCAACTTGAGGAAGTAAGTTCTGACCTATCTTGAAGTTAAACTTTTGGTGCCATAACTTCGCCCCTGTCCTTGAGTCAACACCATTTCTGTTTATTTCACAAAGTCTTGTCAAATGCTTGTTGAAAACGAAACAATTTGAATCAAGGTAAATGTTATGTATCTGTCAAAGTAGATCTAGATTTTAGTCTACTTCAACAGGCTGGTGAAATTGCCAGATCGGGCTTAAAATGAAAATTGCACATTTCTTGGAAAGTATCAAAGTTATTTTTACCTTTTTAAAGCATATTATTTCCTACCTAATTTGTGATGTATAAGAACTAAAATTAAATGAATTTTAGTTATTACACAAGAATATTTTGCCGTTGTTGGATTTTAAGCAGCTAAAATTTTCAAAGTCGAAGAACATGACTTTTTAAAATGAATTCCAATTGAATTTTGAGTTTTATATGATCAGATATATTCATTTGAATGCGCCATCATGTAAATTATGGCAGTTCTAATCTGTGTAAATTTTTTTTAGCAAAAACATGTAACCCCTGTGGGTGAGTGTGGTCAACAATTGTTATGCAATTAAAAATACAGCATACAATACAGAAATTTAAGGTGCTGGTGCATTAGAAGAGATACCCAGGATGCAAAATAATCCAGATTTGAGGAAAAAGGCAAATGCAAAAGATGTGTTTATGGACTTAAAAAAATTGGACCATATAAAAATGAAAAAAAGTGATGTGAAATCCGTATTACTCATAATAAAAAATGTAACGTTTGTTTAAGTCTATCTAATTATAATGCCTAAGATATATCACAAGTTTAAAAGCAATATCTTTGACTGTTTTTGAGAAATTACATTTTTTCATTTTAAGCCCGATCTGGCAATTTCACCAACCTGTTCAACACAGAAATCTTAAATTTATCTCTTTATCTATCTTCCATTAATGTGAAACCCCTAAATAGTCGTAATAAACAATATATATTTATAAAAATGTCTTGTCTGAAAGATTTTGATCTAATAAATCGATTGGTAATACTTTCAACCCGATTAATTAGCGTTTTCATATGTTTTTATGAGAAATTTGAGTGCTTTCCGGTATTTCGGTGCTATCCGGTGCTTTCCGGTTTTTCTATGCACCGAAACCCCTCGCGGGGACGTAGACATACCTCTAGACTAGTCACGTCAGAGACAGCTATGAGTTACAAAAGAATCTTATTGAAATGACCCCTTGGTTCTTCTTCATCAGTGTTCGAAATTAGCACTAGTCCTATAGCCCCTGACTACTAAATTTCTCATAGGGCTACCAACTTTTCAAAGTAACAAGCCCGGCCAGACTACTGTATTTTCAGAGGCAATAAAAACAACTTTTTTGAACAAATGAATCGTGCTAGTGAAATGTCTTTTGGGCTATTGAATATTCCAATCTGGTAGTCCGACCAGCGTAGTTGTTTCAAATCCGAATTTCTTACACTGCTTCATGCCCTGTGTATAGCAATGACATATGCAAGGATTACCTGGATATCCTGCCAGTACACCTCTAATTAGGTGGGAAACACTGAAAGTGTCTGAAAAATTCAAAGGGTTACCCAGTAACAAAATCGTGACCTCAGGAGTGATAGCCTGTGGTCTAACCAACTGAGCTGAGAAATACCATACAAAAATAATGAATCTAAGATTCAAACTAGCAACAAATTATGGGCACCCGTGGATACTAATGATATTTGGATCCTTTGTTGAAATAATTTGGGGCCACCCTTTAAGATATATCTGTTGCAAATGCCGACCCAGGATTACAAGTAGTGGATTGGTAGGTAGGCTTTTAAATTTTATATGATTTTCACAAAACCCAAGTATATACATGTACACTTGGTTATAGCAGATGAAAATGTGGACATCGTCATCATCGGCGACGACGAGGAAACTGGCATGTATAAGACAGTCAAAAGGAAATACATATTCACCAGTACTCATAACTAGGGTTGGATATCGTTCTTCACGAAACGGTCCGATACCGATACCGGTACTGACGAAACGATACGGGTATTTTATCGATACTGATACTGATACTTTTACAATACCAAACCCGTTGCTGCAAGTATAAGAACTGAAGAGATATAACTTGTAGTAATAGAAAATAAATATGTTACATTACTGGTCTTTCTGAAATTTCATGCTGTAAAGTATAATTTTCTTTTGTTGTTTTGTGTTTACTCTTTTTTACAACATTTACACATGTTAATTGTAAAATACTTTTACTTTTTCATCAAAAGGACATGACATAATTTAAACACAGCAAAATATCTTATGCAGGAAAGCAGTCTGCAGCTACAAATTATTGTTTTAATCTTGATATCTCTACATCTGAAAGAATTTAAGACAGTTGGTTATCTATTATTTTCTTACAGCTATTATTTTTACTGTGTAGAAATTTTATTCTGATGCTGATATTCTTTTAAAATCACATTATTGTTTACTGTAATAAATTAAATCACTGGATTGGTTGGCTTACTTTGCAATTTGGAATTACATGTAAGAAATTTCATTAGATGTCACTTACATATATGTTTCCAGTCTGTTCTACTACAACAGCACAAACATATTTTCCACCAGTCATTAACTTAGAAATTTTGAAATACATATGTATATGCACAGTCAGCACAGACTGTTTCCAAAATGACTTGTTTACATTTTCATGTTAACCTAATTAATATTAGTCCTTGTAGAAGTCATAAAGCAAATACCTATGCTTTACAAATATTAAGGATTTGGTATTTATTAATATTGAATTTACCCTTCAATTTTATACATCTTTTATTTTTCAATAGCATGCACCGTGAACATCTTGCTACAGAAAAAAGTATTTTCCTTACCAAATTGCATAATTCCATACTGCTCAAATACGCAAATACGCAAAAATACTAGCCAACATTTGCAAAAAATCCTACAAAACACTATATGAAATATGTTTCAGTTGTTTAAAGTATCACAGATCTAAATGTGTAATACACACAAGTTGACCTTTGACAGGTGCAAAATAGGCTACTCAAAAGAATATGCCTCCCTTTGATGTTGTTACTCTATCACCATCAAAGAGCCACCGACATTCACACTTTTTGATTGAAGTTCTGTCAGCATTCTTTTGTTAAGAAAATGTATACATGTTTAATAATAGTTCATTGTTACACCAAAAACAAAAGTAGGCATATTTTGTTGGAATATTTCGGCCTCATTTATGTTAAAATCGTAATTCACGTGTGGATTTGTACATGTGGTAATGGATGAGAAGAACCTGGAAACATTAAATATGTATTCATTATGAGTGTTTAGAGACTTAAACTGAAAAAAGGATTTAATTATTTTTTTAAAGCATTGTTTGAATAAACAATTGTCATATGTTGGATTTACATTGTCATTACGGCAAAAGCTGTGTGCGATGTGCCGATGATTACTCAAGTATTTGATTTGTTTTCTCGTTGTTTCTTTGACATTTAAAACTTACAAACTTTTAGCAAAATCAGTTCAAATAATTATATTTTCCTGCCGAGTACAAAAATATTATTATCTTGAACATAAGCGGCACAATACTTTTACAAAAATATCGCCGCGTCACAAACTTCAATTTTGCCGCGAAAGCCGTACTCGCCGCATGATAATAGTAGTTCATGGTTTGTTTTACGTGTTTGTAGGCTGTTTTTATTTAAAAATCTTCTTATTTTTTTGACATATTTACTATTAATTTTTTTTTTACAAAATTACAAAAGTATCAAATCCAGTACCGGTATTTTACGAAACGGTATATACCGGTAATTTACGAAGTTACTATTCGGTATAGGACCGATACCGGGAACCGGTGTCAGGGCCTTTTTACCTTCTATAACAGGGGCCGGTATAGGGCTGCTTCCCCAAAGAAAATTTCTTTAAAATCATGCAGTTTTCCCCCAAAATTAAATTTACATAAAGTTTTTTCTTCCCCTTTTGCAAATATACCATATAATTTTTCCCCAAAATTAAGGGCTGGGCTGCTTCCCCAACCTGTGAAAAAAAGCCCTGGGTGTCCAACCCTACAGTCATAACATGAAATAAAAAATGAAATGACTTTGTTACTGTAGCCATAAATTCAAGCCATAAAATTACCTATGTGATACAACTAATTCTATGTAAATATATTTCATATATATTTAATTTTAATACAACAATGCGGTATTTCAAAGACAATTGTTGTGATATGATCTTGATGATTGTACAATACAGTTGACACCATGCAGTGTCTGATATCAAAACGATAATGTACATGAAAGGACCACAGCTTCCAAATATTTATTTGTCAGTCAGTACACTCAATTTTTATCAAGAATCCTCGCTGCTGCCAGAAACATTTTATTGCAGGGGTAATTAATTAGTAATTAATAAGTAATTAATCGTTGTCTGCAGTCATAGTAAAAAATAAACATGTACCCAAAAGCAATCAAAACTATCACCGTATCACGTGATTAACTAGTGACTATAACAATGCTTTACAAATATTCATTAATTGAACAAACATTATTTTAAATCACGTTTCCACACCCTTCAGGGCTCTCGTTTGGTAAAATTTGGGGCCGGATATCGGCCCCATTCCCCCCACCAAAAAAGTGTGTATTTTTCCTTTGAAAATCATGCAAAATTCCCCCCACTGCATGGACCCTGGCCCCAGTCTCAAAATGCTAACGAGAGCCCTGCCATTATATAATAAGTTAATTGTTGCACGCATGCAGTTGCTGCGTAACATAAAGAAAATTCCTTCCTTGGTTGGTTCTGTGGGGAGGCTGTGAGAGATGTTGCACCTTTTCATTATCTCTCATGCACAGACTGAAATAAACAGAGTCTGCAATTTGTAATTTTGCTGCTTTTAATGCTCCTGAGGGATCACTTTTTTCCAGATATTAATGTTATCAGCCAGTGATTTCATGTTGACAGATGCTATTTCATTTTATTAACCAGGTTTTCCGAAGGAAAAAACTGGTTATTAGATTGAGGTATGTCGGCCGGCGGGCGGGCATTAACAATTTCTTCTGTGCGCAACTCCTTCTACATTTCTCAACGGATTTTGACCAAACTTTCACAGAAGCTTTGTCATCAAGTGCCCTGGCGCATATTGTCGGGGTTTTGCGATTGGATAATATTTGACCTAATTATGGCCCTTGTTTTTTTTCCTTATATAGAATATATAGTGAACAATTTCTTCTTTGCGCAACTCCTCCTACATTTTTCAACGGATTTTGACCAAACTTTCACAGAAGCTTTGTCATCAAGTGCCCTGGCACATATTGTAGGGGTTTTGCGATTGGATAATATTTGACTTAATTATGGCCCTTTGTTTTTCTTCCCTTATAAAGGAATATATAGTGAACAATTTCTTCTGTGCGCAACTCCTCCTACATTTTCTCCACGGATTTTTGACCAAACTTTCACAGAACCTTTGTCACCAATTGCCCTGGGGCATATTGTCGCGGTTTTGTGATTGGATAATATTTGACCTAATTATGGCCCTTTGTTTTTTTTTCCTTATACTGAATATACATGTATAGTGAATAATTTCTATCGTGCCCAACTTCTCCTACATTTCTCAACGGATTTTGACCAAACTTTCACAGAAGCTTTGTTATCAAATGCCCTGGGGCATATTGTCTGGGTTTTGTGATTGGATAATATTTGACCTAATTATGGCCCTTTGATTTTTTTCCTTATACAGAATTATCAATATATAGTTAACAAAAATTCTTCTGTGCTGAACTCGTCGTACATTTTTCAACCGATTTTGTTCAAACTTTCACAGAAGCTTTGTCATCAAGTGCCCTGGCACATTTTGTCGGAGTTTTGTGATTGGATAATTTTTTGACCTAATTATGGCCCTTTGTTTTTTTTTCCTTATACAAATATATAGTGAACACTTACTCAGTGGCAATTCCTCCTACATTATTCATGTTTTACATTGCACATAGTTAAATTGTTTGTTGCTTGTATTTGTATTTCAAATACAACATATTTATCTACAATGGTGATAATTGAAAACATGGTTTCATGGCATTGCCATGTTTCTTGTATCAAAATTTGGAAAATAAAAGTTAACGCTAAGACTAAAAAAAGATGGTACATATTTTTACTAGTATTCTCAGATTTGCTTTTTTTTTCAGGAACTAGATACAGACAGAAGTGAGCTTACAAAGTTAAAGAAGTCAGTGAGGGCTCTCTATAACTCAACCAATAGTAAGTCCTTGAATTCATAATGCTTTACATTACAAAAGGTGTTGAGTATCAGAACCAAAACACCATTTTTGTGGAAGGGGCCTCAGCCTTTATCTTGAGGAAAATATGCGTGATTTTGGCATACTTAAGGAAAAGGGGTTTCAAATTTAACACAAACTTTTAACAAGTTCTTCGAAATAGAAAAGCAAAAAGCACTGGAAAATACTAATAAGGCAGTAAAAGACCTTAATTCAACACCATCATTTAATTTTGTTTCTAAATTCTATGGGAAATTTCAAAAGACTGGGGAATATTGAGGAAGAAAACTGGGGAAAAAAGAGTCTAGTTTGGTTGGGGAAGCAGCCTATATTAGGTCTCTACAAAGAAGGTTTTTTTTGGCCCTGAGTGTAATTTAAACTCAAATTATTGCCATAGATGTCATTAGATGTCTTAAAATATAACTGAAGTATTGCAAAAAAAGATATATTGCAATATGATTAAGTTATTGGAAACCATTTTTTATTAAAAAATCAAAATTTTTTAAAAAAAAAATGCTGTGGTAATAAAAGGGGAGAAAATTTATGAAAAACTTTATTATTCGGGGGGCAAATTTTTTTTTTTGGGGGAGGTTCATCACAAATTTAAAAATCCCAAATTTTATCCAACAAATACTTCTTCCCCGTTTTTGGGTTCAAATTTATACAAATGCGTGGGGCTTTTTTTGACCGATATTTTGTGAAATGGATGTTTTAAGCAAAAATCAGGTTAGTGACTTTTAAAATGTTTACAAATTTAAAAAATTAAAAGAAACTCGTTATATGTCCTCATTTACTGTCAAAAAAGTGCTTTATACTACTTGATCTTTATTACTAGGACTTATGTTCAACAAGATATTGAAAATGAGAAAATTGGGGAACCCAGGCAGTGAAAATTAGCGTAAAAAAAAATTGTAAGTTTGCTCAAAATTTATTAAAAAAAAATCTTTGATATTAATTCTAAACACAAAATATAAGAAAATACGATTCAAAAAAGTTATTTAAATTTTTGTCGTTTTAAATGACCCATTTTAAAAATTTTAAATCGTATTTGTCAAATGCTTTTCCCTAAAATTCAAGCCCCCGACTTTTGGTTACAAGTACACAATACTCTTTATTACCGAGATTTTAATTTATAATTGATTCTCCACTAACATTCAAAAGGCTGTAAGTAATATTAATTTAATTTGAAAAATTTGCAAATTTCCCCAGACCCCTTTTTTTAGTTGGTAAAACTCATGTTAGCATTTAAAATATGGTTTTTTTAAAATTTTCCCCAAAAAAATTGAAAATTTTTCCTAAAATTAATTTAAAAATTGGGGTTTTGGGGCAAAAAAAAAGATACGTTACCTTTTTTCCCAATTTTGCTTCAGAGACTAGATAAAAATATTGCATAAAAAACCGTTTGAAAATTTTACTTCCCAATTATGCCCCAGATATATTAAAAATATTAGCTTTAAATAGCACTTTTAAAAAATTTAGAAAAAGTTTAACTAAGCTATAAAAATCTACTTTTTTAGTTTTTTATTAAAAATACTATTACTATAAAAATTTTGTAAATAAGAATACTATTTTCCATATTTATTAATGACACAATTATTTGAATTTTACTTAACGAAAAAATTTAACCCCTAAGTGGAAAAAAATTTTAAAATATATAAGTATCTTTTTCCAGTTCTTTGAAAAATTTATAAAAAACCCTACCACAAGAAAAATTACATAAAGTATTTAAACAACGACCAATAAATAAATGTACTT